GGATATTGTAAGACCTGAGAGTGTGATAATAAATATATAAATTTAAATTGAGTTGTAGAATATTACTTTGATTCACTAAAAAAATTAAGAATTTCAGAATTTCGTCGTCGATATGTTTCGGCGACGAAACACAATGCGTCGTTAGTTTCGTCGTTGATTCCGTGTTGTTGAAGTGTTTTAGCGACAAATACGAGGTCACGTCGTATTTCAGGAAACTGTCGCCCTAACGACGCTTTTATTTCATCGTTACAAAAACGACGAAATGCATTTTCGTCGTTACCAGGTGAACTAAATTGTATTGAAACTAAGATTATAACATATACTAAAATGTAATTGGGATAAAATTCTGTTGAGTTACATGATGTAGCATACAGTTAGGTAAATAATGAAAGTTTTTCTTTTTCCTTTAAGAGCTTGAACATCTCACTAATGGTGTGAACATAATTAATAAATAAAAATATAATCCAAATGAAAACATCTCAAGAATGCAAGGACTAAACAAATACAATATTTAAAATTTAAGGATGAGACGAACTAAAAGCAACCTACAAATTAATATTTATTGAAAATAAGCTCAACCAATTCCCAAAAAGCTCTACTTTATTCATACACACATGGTATGTGTGTATATATATAATGGGAATATTAATCGGTATATATATATTTCTATCTTATGAAAATATTAATTATTTACTTTCTTTAATATACCTCAATATTTATATATTTAATACTTTGTCTAAATTATATATAGTATACCCAATATTTTGATGGGAGATATTATTTCTTAAAATTGAAGTTTATTTGTTTTTACCTGAGTATGTGTATATATATTATTATTATTTTTTTTTTTTAAGCATTGATAGGTGGTGGCGTAGTGGACTTGTGGCCAAATGACGATACTTCCTTGGACTTCCCTCCATTCGATGACGAGTCTCGCAACATCAGTTACCGTATCAGGTAGCCGTCAACACTCCTAATTATAGGGATCTCCAACCAGCCCTACAGTATTAGGTTATAAAAAGAAATTATTATTATTATTATTTATTTGTTATTTTTTTGTTGCAAAGGAATCTTAAGTAGTCACCAGGTTGGAATTTGCTTGGAGGGAGGGAAGAAGGAACTTTGATTCTTCCATTTATTTCTCTTCATGGGCAATGTGCTGGCTTTGTCTTGGTTTGGAGGTTAGCATCCCTATACTCATTATTTTTTTTCTTAATATGTATGATTATTAAATATAATGATTTACTGTATTTTATGCATCTATTGATTAAGAGGATTTGTGAAAAATACAATAAGGTCATTTGAGTTCATTATAAAAAGAAAATTGGAAATTAGCAGTAATTTTGTAGCAAAATTATCAATTATCTTGCAATACAGAGTGTTTTTGGTTTAATTCGAAATTGTTTTTTGAAAGTTCATTCCAAATCTCAAGAATGGTCGAGGATGTGAATATTTAATATTTAAATGATGCATGGAAAATAATATTTTTAAACTGTCACATTATCATTATTTACAATTTATATGAACTTAAATGAAAAATATGTCATGCTTATATATTTTTAAAATTTGTATATTTTTTTAAGTGAGCTTTCGTGGGGGATAACTCACATGTTTTTTAAAAAGAGGAGAGAGGATAAGCCCACTGTTTGTTGTCAAGATCTCAAGTTTTTTGACACAGATTTCCAAAAAGAATTTTTTTTTTTTTTTTTTTAATGTTATTGGATTTTTAATTCTTCTATTTTACTATTAATTAGTTTTTGTCAATACTTTTAATAAATTTATAGCTATTTGAAAACATGATGGCTGAACTATTGCATGTAACCTCAAACACTTGGGTCTATGTTGAGATAGTTAAATTATTATTATTTTGAATAACAAAACACAGTGAAATTTAAATAAACTCAACTTCAAAATGGTTAAAAATTCATTTCACGCAAATCTACATCTCCCTTAAGATCGCTTTAAGGGCTTCCTCCAATCAAATGCCATCTATTTCATCGTCTACAACCATCTTTATACGAGTCATCGAGTTACTTCCGATCGGAAGATAATCTCACTCTTCTAGTTTGAAATTTGAAGAGTTTCTTTATCATTTCCATCCCTACAAATTATTACAAAAAAAAAATTGTATGCCCACCTTTTATCTCTTTTTTGAATTTTAACTGTCAACTTTTAAAAACATAAATAATATATCTTATTTTTTTTATATAAAAAAAATAATATCTTAACTAATTAAACTATAATTATATTAATGTCAGATAAAAATATATTAAACAGATTAGGGTATAATTTAATAGATAGAGGGCCCAACCCAACAGTCTTAGGGGCCTTAAATACTTCCCTATCCATAAGTAGAGTTTTGGGATTATGCGTATCTACCCAACCAATAATAGATAAATGTACTTTCAATAAATAATCATTTTCGTCCAAACGAACAGTCATAACTGACATTTATCTCCAACCAATAGGTTTTAAGTTCGATCTCCCACCGCCTCTTATTGTACTCAAAAGATTAAATTAAATAAATAGTCATTTTTTCAAAAATAAAATATTACAAATATAGTAAAACCCTTCTAGTATCAGCAAAAAAGAAAAAAAAAAGTATAACTTAATTTATACACTGAAAAAAGCATCAATTTTATAGAAAATTGTTCTACAATGCACTGAAGTGTAAGATTTATATTGTTATCTTAGTCGATAAATTTTTAAGATTTTACTATTAATTATTTAATATATGGATAATACAACTTTTAAAATTTATGTATTAACACATTAAGGTGGCTATAACCATATAAATTGGTCAAAACAAGTATTGAGATGGAAGATGTTAGGCAACAAAATAAAAGTAATTTGACAAAAAAATAAGTTATTTAAAAAAATTAGGAATTGAAATAAATATAAACAAAAAAGAAAATCAATAATTAAAGAGATAATTTTGCTTTTTAACAAATAGAAGATTAGAATTTTTTTTTTTTTTTAGTAGAAGATAAGAAGTTTGGTTGACTGAATTGACACTCTACACTGAAAAAAGAAAAATGCGTGAGGTGTATTCATTGAAAATAGAAATACTAATGGCCCATTTGTAACCTTCTCGTTTCTTATTTCTCGTTTTCAATTTTTTTAAGAAATCTAAACATTCTACAACTAATTTTGATTTTTATTTCTCATTTTTTGAGACATTCTCGTGACTGTATACAAATTTTAGAAACAACTACAATATGTTTCTTCTTTCTTATTCCAATTTCCAATTTGTTACAAAAACATAAATAAAAATATTGTTTACAATACTTGTAAGTTGAAGTTATGCAATACATTTTTATTCTTTAAAAATAAAAAAAACAAAAACAACAAATAGGAATTGTTATCAAATGGACCTTTTAAGTCTTCATTTGTTAAAGTTTATATCTCCTATTGAAAAATTGACAACTCATTATTTATTATTTATTATTATTATTATTATTTTTTACATTTTCCCTCGTAGATATAAAACATTTAATAATGGTAAGTACAAAATTGATAGTCACCTGTGAGGATTCAATTAAAAAATATATATATAAGTTGAACGTGTGGCATTTGAACTTGAAAGCACGATATCGAGTGATTTCAAATCTCTAAATAAATTTCATTGTTGGTACTTCGAAATTTTGAATAATTTGAAACCTTATACGATTTCAAATCGTGATTTTAAGTAAAATATTTTCAGGATTAAAATGGTCGAATTTTGCAGTATTTCATCGAGTTCTAAAGTAAATTACTTATTTAACTTTGTCATATTTTAATTTCTAATTTCTAATTAGTAGATTTAAATTAAAAATCTAAATCAGTAAATTTTATATTTTTCAACCAACATCCTAACAAATAAATTTAATTATATTCATTTCAAATTAGGGTATGTTTTAAATAATATACAAATTTTTAAATTACGAAGGGAAGCTAAGTCATTAATTTTTTTTAATTTTAAAACATAACACTACAATTGTTATAGAGGATTATTATAAAGTTGTAATTTCGAGTTATATTTAAATTTGGTGAAGTTATCAACTTATCCTTATTTTTAACAAGTAGAAGTATTCTCTTCCTTTTTTCTTGGGTACATCATAAATCAAACCATGTGCACGGCTCGTGACAAATAACAGCAACATTTACAAGGTTGGCAAGGATGTCTAATATGCCATCAGATTAGGTAATCTATTTCTAATAAAAAAGTCATGAGCAAGAGACGTCATGGACATCAAAATTGAAATATAGGAAGTAAAAATATAATTTGTTTTCAATTCATCGGACAATAAATTGATATGTTTTATTTGATTGACCCTATTAGAATTTAAGGTTACGGGAAACAAAAAGAGGGAAATGGTGGGTTTTCAAGTAGACAGGTTTGGTTAACTGGTAAACAAAATATCAACTTATTGCCATGTAGATAAAAATTTCATCATGTAACAATTTGATAACGACCTATACAGACATAGACAATTTGTGAAATTAAGCAAAATACCAAATTATAATTATTCACTTAGTTATTGATAAATTTTGGCTAAATTACCAATTTAGTCAAAGTGACTGGAGTCTCGCCTCATTTTGGTCTCCATGGACGACTCAAAACTTCACAAATCCTGTCGAGCATGACCAGTATGACATGTTTTTTATATATGGGATAAATAGTACATTTTCGAGTGCATAAATAACTATTTAAGTATAGTTTTAGAAAAGATGAGGTAGAAATCAAATTGAAAATTTTAAAATGGTAACTAATTCAAAAAATATATAGAGAGTGATGGATTTTTCATTTTTTGTGTATGGGGATTCACAAATTGGTAATTTAACATAAAATTAGTATTGTGCGAAAGACATAAAAGCCCTGCATCCAAGGGGTGGGGCGGGCGATGGCGAGTGGCGAGGCGAGGCGAGGCGACGCATCGTTAGAGGCTTTCCTGTAATTATATATTTAGTCAGGGGTATTCCGGTAAAAAAGCGAAATGATTTTCTCTCAGATGTCTATAAATACCGGCCCCCTCTTCAATTTCTTGCCCATTCTTCAATTGGGTCAGCCAGACGATTTCAATTGCGAAAGATAATCCCATCCAATTCGATCAGCGTCCAGGTACTACTTCTTCATTCTCTGCTCTCTTAGGGTTCGTAGTTTCTAGGGTTTTTATTAAGTTTTCTTCTGGTTTATGATGTGTTATTTTCTTACTGCCTCTAACCTAGGGTTCTACTCGTCGTCGTATCCTGTGTGCTTCCCGTTCTTTGTGTTTTTCGTTGTTTCTGTTTCTTTTTCTTGGTTGGGTGGGCGGAAATGGGTGGGGCGGAGAATTTATAGTTTCTGGTTTGAATAACAATATTAGAGTGCCTGAATTCTGGATTTTACGCGTGAAATTGAGTAATTGGTAGCGTGGTGATATGGCATTCGGATCAAAAATGGAATTTTCCGGAAGTTTTAGTTATGATTTGCTTTTGGTTCGTTCCCTAGTTGATGAATTTGTATGATTTTAGGGAAGTGAAAATTGCACCCCGAGTATACTTGCTTTTTCTTGATTGGAGTAGTCCATACTTTTAATGTGAATGTTTTTTAATAGTAAGGACGGGTAGTGAATGTGGGTTTTATTTTATGAGGATTGGTAGTTTTATTGACTGTTTGATATGCTCGAAAGATCTAGTCTCTATGTCCTTTCAAGTTTCATTACAACTCTCATTCGTAAGACTGATTGCTAATGGTATTGTATATGGATGTGGACAGACTCGCGCCACAAGAAATGGGAAAAAGAAAATCAAGAGCAAAGCCCCCACCTAAGAAGAGGATGGATAAGCTCGACACTGTTTTTAGCTGCCCCTTCTGCAATCATGGGACCAGCGTGGAATGTCGCATGTAAGTTTGCATTTGGTTTCTCTCGGTTTCTAGTAACACGTGGGGGAGGGATTTGATTGAAGGATTTTAGTAGTTCGAGGCACAATGCATGGTTTTACTTCAAAATGTCATACAAAAAGCAGTAACAGTGAATATGTATAATGTCATTAACTTGTCTCCTGGATTAGTCTCTCTGTCTAGGTGCCTCATTGTTTTGCATTGTGACGAGGGTGTTTGTATGGTTTTAGTGATATGAAGAACCTGATTGGGGAAGCCTCCTGTAGGATTTGTCAAGAGGGCTTTAGCACAACCATTACAGGTATTCCTTCAAATTTATTTACGAGTGACCGTTTTCCATGAGCTGCTGTGTTTATTTTATTTCTTGTTATTTATTATGATGCGATTGGAACAATTTAGAAATTTTTTATGTATGTTTTGTTTTCAACTGAACCCTTTTTTAGGTTTTGGACTTTGAACGGGCGCATGTGAATATTGCCCCATTTTCTCAGTGCTGAAAGTCGATAGGATTTATGGAAGATTTGATTTGCATTATTACTAGATCATTTCTAGATTTTGTCCTGTTGTGGGGAAGTTGGATTGTAAATGAAAATGTGTTCAAGTTTAGGTCTCTTGTATGACTTTTGTGGATTGAATCGTCTTCACATTGGATTGAATGCTTCCAACAAAAATTTCATTAATATCTAATTTCTTTTATTTTGCAGCCTTGACAGAGCCAATAGACATGTAAGTAAAATTAAAAATGCAAATGGTTTTGTCAATGTTGATGCGTTTCAGTACTTCAATTGACATGATATTGTTCTGATCAGATATAGCGAATGGATTGATGAATGTGAGCGGGTAAACAACCTTGAGGAAGATGATGCTGCCTAGGGGTATCAAAGGGGAAGGTTGAAGTTCGCCGTTTCTCCATGAAAAAAGAAGCTGGCTAGTTCGAAGTACGTTTTATGAATCAATCTAAATTAAGAGGGTCTCACTCTGGTAGGTATAACAACACTCTTAGCCTCATAGCAGTATAGACAAGCATGTATGTACAGTAGTATGTTGTAACGCGAATTTTACATACTCTGTAATTTTCTTTCATGATTTTTGAATCTCGGATCTTGGACACAAAAGTAATGGTAATGCGAATTTTCTTCCATGTCTGAACCATTCATTGATAACTTAGAATAATTCAAGCTTTTTGTAAATGAAATATTGAAAGATATGTTATTTATGGTATCTTTTTATCATAGAATTTATGATCATTGGACCTTTTTTTGAAAATGGAAATAATATCATATGGAGCTTATTCGTAGCACGTGAAAAACAAATTAGAAGATAGAATTCTTTATGATTGTAGGGTGGTGGAGTGCTGTAAATGGTTTAAAACTAAAGCCCTTTAAAGTTTTGTAACTTACGTTGGTACTATCAGGCAATATTTTTGTGTAACTTTCATTTTTGTAATTCAGGTAGGTTTACTTTATTTTAAACTATGAGTTATATAAATTTGCAATAAAAAAATTAACTTCCACATTTCTTCATCTGGGCAAATTTCCATGTGATAACATAGTTTTGCTGAGTCTAACTTTTTATTTAAAATATTAATAGATGTTTGTTTCAATACTATTTTTAAAACTTTTTTTTATTTAAAATGTTAATAGATGTCTGCTCGAACACTATTTTTTAAACTTCTATGAAAGGTGAAAGATAGTATTGAAATTTTTAAGGATTCAATTAGCAGAATTTTTTTAGTACCAATTAGCATAAATTTACTAGAAGGTATCGGAACAAGAAAGTTAGAAATGAAATTGATCCAACTTTCCTAAGTTTAGAGCTAAAACTTTCATTCATTTTTATTGAAAAATCAATTTTCACCAAGAAAAATGAAAAGTATACAAAATAGCAACTTTTCTGTGATCCAAAATATGTCTTTGTACCTGTATTAGTAGTATATCAGATACTGATATATATACATATTGCACGTGCACTCATATAAGTAGTATATTACATACATATTGTAAATATATCATACACGTATCATATCACATATTCAAATATATTACAGATATATATCATTTGGGTAAAGTTATCACTTTTCAAAACTAAATGTGATTGTTATTTTGCTAATTTATTAAATGTTTTTGACATATTTGCTCATCCAACAAAAAGAAACCGAATGTGTTAGATCCAAACAAACAAGTTTTTATACCCTATTTCTTTTATATTCTTTTAAGGTTAAAGAATGTTATGCACTTTCATTAAAACTTTTAAACGTAATGATTTGGTCATCACTCGATTTCTACTCAGTTTTGAAAGAACGAACATGCCTCCCATTTTTTCTAATGATTTTCATCTTCTAGTTTCCACCTTTTTGACTTGCCACTAATTTCATGGTTTGGCTACTAAAGATGAGTGTTTGGAATGACGTTAGTTCTGACCAATTGAATTTTGGTCGAGAGCCAAAATGAAACAAATTTGTTGCCAAAATTTTGTGCTATAACACGGTTTAATGCAATTTTGCAAAAAGATCATTCAACATTTGAAAAAACTTGCAAAAATCAAGAGGAACGAGTAATATTTTTCTATTTTGGTTACATCACAATCCTTATCTTGGTTGGAATATAGCCTTTAATAATGCAATTATCTTTTTAACTTTAGTGATTTTTTTTTAATAATTGTATGAAGACTTTTTATTTATTTAAATTATAGATTTTTGGTGTTGATGCGGCCAATAAAATATTTAAATAGAAAATTTGTGGTGTGTGTATTTAGTACACCCGTGAAAATGCTCATTGCCCACCAACTTTATTTAAATTTGCAATATCCCTCGGTCTTTTTTTAATATTTTTAAAAATATATTTAATTGAGAGATGCACTAATAGCACTTCACATGTTTCTTATTTTATCACACCACTTTTCTATGTATGCAAACTTTGTCAAAAGGGAAATTTGAGGGGTGTTCTTTTTAGTTTTAAATAAATTTTTAGATATTAGAAATGTATTAAAAAAAAGAAGTTCAAGTTTCCGAGGAAGGATAAAATACAAAATTCAATAGTGCGAGCTTGAGTATAGTGGAGATTCGAATCTCCATCTATATTGCTGTACTAAAAAAGAAGTTAAGTGCGGAAAAAAAACTTATTCTTTCGAAAGAAAATAAAAAATGAAAAATGTCATTAAACAAATAACCTCACTTAATTATGACAATATCTACCGTATGTTTTTTTTTTCCTTTTTTAGGTGTCACATTTGTTAAATATAATTAATGAGTTGAATATCTTCTTTCAATGTAATGTTAATAAGATAAATCAATCATAAATCATATTCACGACCAAGATGTTTAGACAAGTCTCTCAAACATCTAACGGACACGCTTGTTTTTTAGTTCTACAATGGTGGATACTTTGAATCTCAAACCTTTAAGAATGTAAGTTATTGTTCGACAATTTGAGTTAGACTTATAATAGTTAAAAGTCATGAGATACGTTTCATGCCATTGAAATTGTAAGCTCAACACTAGCATGTAACCGTCATTCCAAATCTCTTAATCATATTTAATGCAAAAAGTCGAATTTTTCTAACTAGATGTGGTCAACATGAGCTTAGCTAAAAAGTTGGCATGTTTCTCTGATAAAAAAAGGTTTTGAGTTCAAATCTCCCCACCTATTTATTGTACTAAAAAAAACTAAACAAATGTGTAATTAGATTAACCAGCAAATATAAAGTCGAGTTCTCCTAGTTAGATAGCAGTGACACAATGAGGATCAACCATCGATATATATTTCATCAAACCTTTGGTAAATGATATCTAAAATGTTGCCAACTTGAGTATGTACAAAAAAAATCTTGTGTTTGAATTCTAACCCCCATGTTTTTTAACAAGAAAAAGAAAAAGAAAAATAAAAGATGTAATATGTCATGAGCAAACACTAAAATGAAATTTGATGTAAGATCGAAGAATCAAAGAATAAAAATTGTGATGAGGGTTTGAAGAACCAATCAAGTGTTAAACCTAAATAAGAACATGCTAAGATTTGGGTTTTCTTTTTCTTTTTTGAGGTACAAAAATTTGATATTTGGGTACGGAATCTCCTGGGCATTTTGTTTTGCCCCCGAAAACGCTAAATTTCGGCCTTAAAGCTTCCCTCTCCCTCTTTCTCTCTCTCTCTTATATATACACATTCGCTCAAAGATTTCCCAAAATAACGAATTTCTGTAGACGGGATCTTCAATTCTGATTTTTCCCGGCACTTTTTCTCAGTTTCTCTCTTCCCTTCTGCGATAGCGACGGGGGAATCAGAGAAAAACAGCGAAAACTTGCTCTTATGGGTCGGCCTCCGAGCAATGGAGGCCCTGCCTTCCGCTTCACTGCTGCCGAGGTGTTTTCCTCCGCTTCTTTGTTTCTTCTTCTTCTTCTTCTTCTTCTTCTTCTTCGTCTTTGTTTCTCTCTTTTCTTATTGTAAATGGTGCTTCTGTGATGCATGTGCGATGTTCGAGTTCGAATTTTTCTGGGTTTGACTCAATTTCATTATCTGTTGGCTTGATTGATTTTTTTGGCACTGTGGTTACTGATTCTTATGCTTGTTTTCTTTGTTTTCTTGCATTGCTCTTCCTTGGCGGATTTTAATCGGTTTCTTTTGAACTGATTAGTTGCTTTGTTATCTTCTTACATATTTCCGTGTCTTATTCCACTTGTAATTTCTCTTGCGTGTGTTCCCCCTTTGAATTACGGCGCGCCGCCCCCAATTATTACTTCTGTTACTGGATTCCTTTAATTGCATAGAGTCAATTCTGTGGTTAGCGTAGGTATCTGCATTTTGCAGAGAGCGGGCCTGTGGGGCCTGGCAGATAACGACTATTTGGAAGAAGAATGCTATTATCGATCACCTTGACCATTTTTGCTATGGGGTGACGGGGAATTTGAAGTTGCTGGGATTGAACTTTCAGAGCACAGCTTTTGATAAAGATTTGTTCCAGACCCCAATGAAATGATCTAAATTTTACTGCAAATTGTGTTGACTCCTCTTTATCAACAGAACAGTTCGAATTCTTTTGGCCTTTTGCAATTAAATCTGCAAGAAGTTTATTTTGCTGCTGCATGTATTCTATTTTACAAGGAAGCACATTATTGATAAGGAATTGAAATGATTTTAATCAAATGGAGTTTGTTTTCTTTAAGGCTACTATTGTAATTGTTTCTGGCCTTAATAATCATATGGGTTAGACTTTCTTGAAGCTGCGGGTGATGTAACATTCAGTTATTATTTTTATTAAGGTTGCGGAGATGGAAGCTATATTGCAAGGACACAATAATACAATGCCAGCTCGGGAAGTTCTTGTTGCCCTTGCTGAGAAGTTCAGGTGGGCATTTCAGGAGTAGCCTAATGGGGCTTTTATAGAATTTGAATTGTCCTTTTTGTGTGCGTGTGTGTGTGTGTGTTTTTTTTTGAAAGGCAGGATCGAATTTTGAAAAGAATATTCTTTTTATGTTGTTGTAGTGAATCAATAGAACGGAAAGGGAAGATTGCTGTGCAAATGAAGCAAGTATGGTGGTTCTGTTCTGTACTAGTACTAGACCTTGATATAGTGTGTAGTGGTATTTTGCTAATTATTATGATTGTTATTTCGTAGGTTTGGAATTGGTTCCAAAATAGACGTTATGCTATCAGAGCAAAGTCAACCAAGGCTCCTGGAAAGTTAGCAGTTTCTCCAATTGTCCAAATTGAGTCAACTCCCGTGAGAAATGTGCCACAATCCATAGTTGTTCCTGCTCCTGCACCAGTAGGTATTAAAGAAAACATTGTTATGTTTTATAAGTTTAAAACATTTCATTTTCTTATCCTGTTTTTTCTTCTTTATTATCTGTTTGGTGTCAGCTTCTTTTTTACAAAATTTTACTCTAGTAGTAGAATGGTATTCATGTTAAAGCCTGTGTCTGGGTTTCCATCGTGAAGATTTTTGAAACTTTTCCTCTTTTGACAAAGCTGTGGGGAGGTATATGTGAAATCTTGGGAGCTTTTATAGCCTTTGCCTTTGTATGGGGAGGGAGGGAGGGGGGTAGTTTTGAACTAATCTTCATTATAGGCTAGCAATTAGGTGTTTATTGTGAGTATTCTTTTTTTAATCTACTTTCTCATTTTTGGAACAGATTGTTCATGGCATATGCTTTAGGCAGCAAGTTATGGTGGTTTTGGAAAACCTTATTCCACTATTCTTGTTGTTAATTTCTCCATGATATTTTGTCGTTTCTTTTTTCCTATAAATCTTGGGTTGGCTATTTTGTTTCCTATGCCCAATAATTTGTAGCATGATATGGTGTGAAAAGCTAAGAAGCATGGACACTATAGTTTGGATAGCATGCCTGTTTTCAATGTGTATCGAATCATACATGAACATGTGCTGAACACTCATTGAGCATTTGTTTATTTATTCGTTTTGAAAAAGGGAAACAACAAACTCTTTTTAAGCATATAAGTAGACAGGCGTTGTTGATTTTAGATTTACTTTTCTATAATATATTAACTCATAGAAACATGTTAAGTTTGTTTTCAGTTTTATTTATTTATTTATTTATATTTTTTTAATATTTTGATATAAGACGTTTGTATCACTAAAACTAAAAAAACAATAGCTAAGTACTCAAACCACGTACTTTATTGATGTCAACATCGTAATTTTTTTAAACCAACATCTGTGCCAAATTCCAGGCTCTGTGAAGGGTGCTCCGGACAATCCATTATCGGAGTTTGAAGCTAAATCTGCTAGGGATGGTGCATGGTTAGTATAGCTTGTCTTCAAATATAGTAATAGTGGTGTGAAATGTGAATTAGCCGGTCTTCATGCTTTAGGATGATAAACTTCTTCATCATAGGTGTAGATGAGCAATTGGAATTTCGTACATACACGTGAATACACCTGATACAAGAAATTAACAATATATTCTTTTTAACTGTTCATATGTTCAGGTATGACGTTGCTACCTTCTTATCCCATAAATCTGTGGAAAGTGGTGACCCGGTAATTTGCACTCATTCCCTTCCCTTGCACGCAAATCATTATTTAAGGAAGCATTATGTTCCCTTTCTTCCCCCTTCAATCTATTTGTTGCTCTCTTTTTCACACTTTAGTTATTTGAGCTTTTATCATAAAAATGAACATGTAATTATTAAGCCAATTAGTTCTTGAATAGCCACTTCCACTTTCTCCATTTTTAGGAAAACATTGTAAGAAGTGGTCATACTCCAAGTAAAAAAAATTTCCTGTCTCATATCCTGATGCTTGGGCATAATGTCAGAGGCCTTTGGATCCAATAGTGTGGTCACAAATTCAAAAGCTTTTGGATTACATTTCTCAATGTTACCAACTTCTCTTAGTCTTTTTATGTTGTTTGGTAAGGTATTGATCCTGGTTTCAAACTCAATAACCTGAAATTAGAATTATTGGGATTCTGGGTGTTACGAAGAATGAATTGTAACATTTACATTGTCTATTTTGACTTATGACAGTTAGAATTACCCTGTATTTGTCTTCCCCCAAACCTTTTCTCCCTCCCTATTTTCGGAGGTTTTATTGACTATGCAGAAGTATTTAAGGTTAAGCAACAACACCTTATCTGACTGATATTTTGGCCATTCTCAAATTGGTTCAAGATCTTATTTGATTGCAATTCAAAATTGTGGCTCTCATTTAGAAAAGAAATCCTTGTTTTGATTTGCATGCTTTTGTCTGTCTCCCCGTATTACCTAAAAATTGTTGTTTGTCAGGAAGTATTAGTTAGATTTGCTGGTTTTGGATCGGAGGAAGATGAGTGGGTTAATATCCGAAGGAACATTAGACCTCGTTCTCTTCCTTGTGAATCATCAGAATGTGTGGCAGTTCTTCCAGGCGATCTCATCTTATGCTTTCAGGTAAAAGTAAAACCTGGGCTTTGCATCTCCTTCGTGGAGCAATCAATTCAGTTTATCTCTTTACCTGATCTATATGTTCGACATATAATTCATGACTACCTTGTAAAACCACTCCCCTCCAAGAGGGCATGAAACGGTCTATGACATTCTCACTGAAAAATTTAACAACACATTCTACAAGTTGTTATAGAATAACATCTTTTATTAGAAATTATTGGGAACTATTTCTGATCTTCAAAACTTTCAGGAGGGTAAAGAGCAAGCACTTTACTTTGATGCCCACGTGCTCGATACACAGAGAAGAAGACATGATGTACGAGGTTGTCGCTGCAGATTTTTGGTCCGTTATGATCATGATCAATCTGAGGTGTGTGAAGTTCTCAAGTTTTGTTGGGTTCTTTTGGTTGTTTGTATCCGCACTCCTAGCCCCATCATCCAACCTGGGGGCAGGGGGATTGATACAATGAACACAAACATCAATATAATCATTGGTTTTTTGGGCTGACATTGTCTGTTTTGCATTGCATTAGAAATGAATCTCCCTTTGTTTAGTATTATATTGTTTTCATTCTTGTTAATTTCACACGAACTGAAGACTTCAGCTTTGAAGTGGGGAGAATTTGGGAATTTAGAGTGTTGTTAATGGCTCTGCTGCTGTGAGTTCTGTTTCCAGTTCAAATGAAAATAATCCTCCTCTCTTTCTTTGGAGTTGTAGGGACCAGGCTCGTAGTTGGTTTTCTTCAGGTTGATAGGTTCAATGGTTGCTTAGTAATAAGTGGGAATTTTGTTATTTCATGCTTAAATATAAACAAAACAAACAGTTAAATTTAAAGTTCTATCTCATATCCTTAAGGATAGAATTATAATTCAGATGTCGGTTAGATTTCTGCTGGGAGTGGAGAATAATAGTTACAGATGAATAACCTTTCGTAATAGGTAGAAATTCCAGAAAAGTTATGATGTGCTTAATACCAACAAACTTGGAGGAACCTTCCAATATCATCAGGCCAAATATATTTGTTATCTTTTATGTTGGAGTATATGACAATACACAAGCTCTCATAGTATCTCTTTTAGGTATGTAAATGATGATATTTTTTTATTTTTTTTATTTTTTTATTTTTGGATAAGAAACTGGGATAAATTTCATTATCAAAAGAAGCTCATACAAAAAGGGAATGAGCTTAATCCCATATGGCCACCGGTTACGAAAAAGAGATGTCAGTAGGCAGTGATATGTACAAAGGTATAGTTACAAAATCTTTAGACAAATGATGATAGCTAAGTTTTTTTTTTCCTCTGATTTTTGTTAATTGATCGATCGCAAATTAATCTTCTCGTGTAGAATTTAACTGTGTATTTGATTTGTTTAACTTCCTCTGCTAAACAATTTCCCCATTTTGCAAACAGAACACATTGTGATATTAACATAAACGTTTGATTTAATCAGGCATGGAGCTTTGTTTGGGATTTTACAATTGACTTGGTTTGCTCTAAATAAATGTTAGGAAATTGTCCAGTTGAGAAAGATTTGCCGTCGGCCTGAGACTGATTATAGGCTGCAACAGCTTCATGCTGTAAATGAAGCGGCATCCATGGAGCCCCCAAAGTCTGGCATGGATTCTGTACTGCTCAGCGGTCCAAGGCTAAATTTTGAGGGAACACAAAAGCCACTCGGCAAGGATGCAACCATGGTTGCACCAAATGCAAATTTGAATGTAAACGTCCAAGCCCAAACTATTACTCAGGAAGTAAGGAATATCGAAACTAGCAGCACTCCAATCTCATTCAACTCTGGTAATCCCGCAGGTAGCTCTGCTTTCTTGAGTGGTATCGCGACGACCTCTGTTTCTGGTGGGTTGGGAGACAATGTGTCTGATGGGAAGTTACTTAGTTGATTATGGAAAAGAATTTCTTCATCAGTCTAATTTTAACTGAACTTATCAATTTAAAATTTTGACTGACTCGTTTTCTTAGGATGAGTAAATACCCAGCGAAGTCTGTTTTTTACCCCCATGTTTCAAAGTTATAGGTTCCCATCCACTAGCTCTGAATGCTGAATGTTCTCGACGGATGAAAAATGCAGAAGTTGCGCTTCGAGTGTAGTATCGAACAGGTCAGAGGCATTATCTCTCTCGTTTCTTTACTTTTTCTTCTCTGCTTAGCCAAACATGGCTCTACACTTACCATGCAGACTGATGATATAGTTTACTGATTAGTTTTCCCATAGAGCTTTACTAACGAGTAATGATATTGTTAGAGTTAGAATAGAATTCTGTACAAGTTGTTGAATGCCATGTGAAAACTGGAATTGTTTGTGTTCTTTTTGCTGAAGAGTGGTCAACTTAATGCATTACATGAAACTTTTGACATGCCTACACATATACACATTATTGGTTGTAGACTTGTAGTTCTCTTGTTTCTTTTTTCTCCTCCTTTCTTTGATGCCCTTTTAGGATGCCGGACGAGGAATGAGGTATTGATGGCTTGTTTGGTAACATTCTCGTTTCTTGTTTCTCGTTTTCAATTTTCTTAAAAAATCTAAGTATTTTTCAACTAACTTTGTTTTTTGTTTCTCATTTTTTGGGAATATTCTCACAATTGTATAGATTTTTGGAAACAACAAAAACTAGTTTCTCCTTTCTTGTTCCCATTTCCAATTTGTTCCAAAATATAAATAAAAAGATTGTTTTATCGTACTTGAATTCTTAGAGGTTGGAACCACGCAATACATTAAAAATAAAAAATAGGAATATTATCAGACGAGTTCTGAGAGACTGAGGATGTTTAATTTATAATTCTGAGTGGATATAGGGAGAGAGAATTCATCACCATCTCTGAAAATTAGAATAAAGGAGGAAGAACAAAAGTTCATTTCTGCCGTTATTTTTGAGGAAGGAAGAAACTGGCCTATTCAGGATCTTGCTCCTAGAGTAGCAATGAGAAAACTAGGACGGTAAAGGTATGTTTGAGAGTGAATTTGAAATAAGTGTTTTTACTAAGCGTTTTTAGTAACAAGTCACTTTGATATTTTGTTGGCCAACCATTTTGGCTAAAACTACTCTCAAGAAAACACTTTAAGGTGTTCTTTTAAAATTCTCTTTTCCATTTAAAAGTGCTTTTATGATAATTCCAAGCATGACAATATCGAGCGGGTTACAAGAAGGGGAGAAACTCTATCCAACGGAGTTACAAAATAAGTCTAAGTCTCTAAGTCTCCAATGAAAAGAATAGTCGAAAAACCAAAATGATGTAAGAGGGAGAACATTAAAATCATGATGTAATAAGTAAGACTATATCATAAAAAAAATGTTCCAAAAATGCATCTAAAGATTCTTATTTTCTTTCTCAAATGTTGTTTTTCATCCGGAAAAGAGAAAAAAAAGGATAAAAAGATAATATTGAGTGGGTGTGCATACACGATTAACGTATTAATTCCATTTGTATATATTTTATTATTTTGAGTTTGAATCTCCACTTCAATTGTTGCATTAGAAAGCAGCTCTTTTTAATTTAATTTTGAAAATTTTCGTCGTTTAGGGTTTTTGCACAATAAATTGCACAATAAATCTTATTTTTGTTTTTCCAACTCTTTTACTTATTAACTTATTTTATTTATGGTCCTCAAACTTTTGAATATTCTCTCCAGTCTTTTAACATAGCATAAAAAACCATTTCAGAATCTACTGTTACAATTTTTATATGTTGCCTACGCAAATATTTAAAACCTCTCAAATAATGGGTTTAAGAATGGATTTAGATTTTGGTTCAACTATTAACAGAAAATTAAAAACAATAATTAAAATAGGATTTTTATACAAAGCAAAGTGCCTTAAATAAAATATTTGAAATTTGAGAGACCAAAATAAATTTGTTGGTAATATTTATATTACAAAACAATGTTGGTATAATTTTTCAAGTCCATTCTTTTTTTTTAATTCGATTTTTTCCCCTCAAATCAAGCCTTAACCATCACTATACCTTAGATAATCAAGAATATATTATATTTATACTAGTAACATTTTCAATGTCTCAATTTTATTTTATTTTTAACAACGAACAATTTCAAGTTGGATAAGTACTACAACTCAAATTATATAGAGTGAGTAGATTTATGACTTTAACGCATCGATCTCATCAAGTTGAAACATAAAATAGTACTAACTCAACTAATAAAATGTATTTTTGTCGGTCATATATCAACACTTTACATTAATAAATTTTAACATTATATGATGGTAAAAACTTGATTTTTGAAATTTAATCTAAACAAATAAACTCAAATTAAAAAAGAAATTGAGTAAGAAGGTTAAAATACTATTTTAGTCAATGTACTTTCAGTATTTGTTCATATTGGTTCCTTTACTTTCAAAAACATTTGTTGGATCGCTATATATTTTTTTTGTTCATTTTAGTTCTTGCACAATCAAAATGTTTGTTTTGGTATTTGAATATTCAAATTTTAACATGACACTGTATTTAATATATTTATTGAAATGTAATAATAACTTTCTATTAAATTCTTAAAAAAAAACCTTTATATTAAATGATTTTAGTTATGTATAGAATTTACTAAATTTAAAAATTTAAAAGATGAAAATAACGACACGCTAGA